ACTATATACATACGTCTTGAGATGCTTTAAACCTGTTCCACGTGTTATTTCATCTTTTGGGAGTCTTCCCAGGTCCCGGTACCCCGGCCTCGAACTTTGACCTGGAATTCCCAGGTCACGGAACTGCGACAGCACCTGCGACCGAAGCTGACGGCGGCGGAGGTCACTGTGGTTTCGTACGTTTAAAGATGTTTAAAGTATTGGATTACTATGGTTTCATAATGTTTCATATATGGTCTAATATAGTTGAATATGGTTTAATATAGTTTAATATGGTTTAATATAGTTTAATATGGTTTCAGATACTTATTGTTATATTGGATTAATATGGCGTCATATGGTAGCAATGGTGATATGTGCAAAAAATGGATGAACATATGGTTTCATATGTATGAACCGATTATTCTTATATTTATCTGGGCACAGATTTATGTGCCAACTGTTCCCTCGTCCATCCGCGCACTGCGGATTGACTCGGGGACATCAACGGTGAGCGTTTTTACCCGAAACCTTTGGCGTTTTCCAGCTCCATCCTCCAGTGGTAACAATGAGCAAAATCTATTGTTGAGAATGGTAAAATCACCAGTAAACGGATGTTGTTTTTTTTCTTTTTTAAATATCATCCGGGCAATTTAACGTGGCTGTGGAAGCCGCAATGGTCCATTTCGTTCGATTGACCGATTGCTATGTTTGATGGTGATTTTCCATTTAAAAAGGGGTGGCCTTTGGAATTTTGTTACATAGCTATGGACAATAGACATGTTTGATAGGTAAACCTACAGTAAATCATCTAAGACATGGTGGATATCATGCATGTAACCACTGGTGGGTATCTATTGAGATGTAGATCAACATGAGATCAGCGTTTCAAAAACAGATCTAGATGATCTAGCTGGTGACTCTCAAACAAACAGTTTGACCCTGCTTTTCAACAGCCTTTTCCCCAATATATGGAATCTGAACATGTTTCGGTGCCGGATAGATCGGAAGATGGATAGGTATGTACATAGATAGACATGTAGAAAGATAAATAGATAGATTAAATTAGGTTCGATTCGATTCGATGGACAGAGACAGAGATAGAAATAGAGGTAGAGAAAGACAGACCGATAGATAGGTAGATAGATAGATAGGTAGATGGATAGATTAGATTGGATTAAGATTAGATTAGATAGATATAGACTTAGATATAGAATTAGAATGAATTAGATATAGACTTAGAATAACTTAGATATATCTTCAAAATATACTGTATATATATGTGGCATACACACAGGCGCATGCGCACACATGCAACCACACATATTCTGGCATGATCAAAAAAAGCACATCTGTGTAGCAAAGCTGCCATAAACCTTCAATTGGGGATGGTAGCATGTTGCCAGCTATGGACCCACAGATTTCGTCCTTTTCGCCCTGCTATGTTTCGAGCCATCGCCACAGCCAACAGATGCCATTCAAACAGTTTTGGGTCTCGGATCCAAGTCGCTTTCCTCGTAGCCTTTTTCCAGCCTTTTCCGTGATTTGCATGTTCTATAGACATGCATGTTCTTCAAATCGATGATTTCAATGATGATCACTCACATGAACCCAAAGTGACCACGCTTGATCAACAATCCTCACTTTGAGGTAGGTCTAAGTCACCCAATGTCACCCACCAGCTCTGATAAATCTGGCCATCTGATGGGTGATACGGTGATACATCTAATTCTAATTCTGATTCTGATTTTTTTTGGATCTCCGACTATTCCCATGACACAGGTCACAATCTAACCAACTGGGTCCAATTACTAATTGCCATCAAGGGATCATTCTAATTGCCATCAGTTACCATCATAAATTTGATTTTAAAACGTAGGATGATTCAAAAAACAACATAACATGTATCTACCAACATGGATAATTCTAAATCCCGTCAAGGCTCACAACAAATTGTCATCCGGTAGTCAGTCTGATGGCTGGAAAATACTCCATTTATCTAGTTCGATGATTTTCCCGACGAACTAGACCTCCATTCACCCTTCGGTAATCAAACATGGCAATGGCCAGAAATCCCATTTATAGATGATTTTTCCCATTCAAACCGCCATTCAATAGGGACTTGTCCCATGTTTTTATTTTCCCCCATGTTTTCCCCTATGTTTCCCAATGTTTTCCCATGTTTTCCCCATTTCAATGACCATTTCCTTGGGACATGTTCCTCTCGGACGCACTGCAGATGGTGCATGAAGCTGACCTTGATGGAGACGGTGTAGCCCAGCGGCAGATGGTACACACCGTTCTTAAAAATGGTGGATCTTTCCATGGCAAACTGTTAGTCATAAGCAGATGGTAGTATATGCTAATATCTGTTAATATATGTTAATATTTGTTGATATGTTGAATTGATATATATCTTAATATGGTTTCATATAGTTATTGTATGTTATTGTTATATTGGATTGGTTTCGTAAGTATCGTAAAAGCAATGGCGATATGTTTATGATTGGATTACTATGGTTTCATATCTAGTTACTCGTAGTGTTTTATTGGATTAATTCACATGGTCGAACACATCATAAAAACAATGGTGATATGTGAAAAAAATGGATGACAATAGTTTCACATGGATGAACCCATCATTGTTATATCTATGTGCCAAAAAAACGGATAAATGGGATATAAAATGTTAGTTTTATGCAATAGGATCCACTATCCCCAAATTGAGCATTTTTATGGGTGGTAGAAGCACCAACATTAGTAGGACAAAAGTACCCCCTACACTGGCCAGAAAATCAATTGAATTTGTTGCGATTGATTGAAATTTACCAGACGTTACTCAGATTCTTGACCCATTGGTCATCGGCAGTTATTTCTCATACATGCGTCCGTATTTTTTCGTTTCATTGGTGAGCTTATGAAAAGCAAGTGTATACAAAATATTGCCCCAAGTATACCCCAAACATCTAGCCATTAACCAAGGTCTTCACTCTGGTCCTTAACCAGTCTGCAATGGAAAATCACCCTAATCATCGAACGAACTGGGCCAATTTCCATCATTTTCCGTAGCAAACTGTACCAAATTGCCGGAGGGCACCAGCATTTCTACATTAAATTATTGTATCCCATTCTATCCGATTGCATCATCAGTATATTCCCATATTTGCTCGTTAAGTCCCATTACATCCCAATTATATTGCCACTATAACTCGTGTACTGGCCAGTTAATCCCATGAAACTCCCCCAAAACTATTCCCATTCTATCCCATTCCATTCTATTTCATCATATTCCATTATATACTATATCACCATTATATCACCATTATATCACCATTCTATCACCATTCTATCACCATTCTACCAGGGCAAGGCTTTGGAAGTCCGGTCGCAAGCTTCGCAAGCTTCGCATTTCGCGACGCGTCTGCCAAGGCCATCAGTCAGGCAGAATGGACCGCTGCGGCCACGCACGCGCGTCGGGATCCCAAGGTGTTTGGTTTGGATGTGTTTCTTGATCATACCTTCTGGTAAACAGCCACATAGCTATGGAAAGATCCACCATTTTTAATGGGAAAACTCACTATAAATTGCCATTTTCAATAGCTATGTTAGTTTTCTTGATCATAGTCGGAAGCAACAATGTTCAGCTCGCAGCCATCTGATGTGCGCAGCAGCTTCAATAGATTGATGCGATGATTTTCTCACAAGTTGAGGCCGTGGGACGGATTTTCTAATATCTATTAGTCATTATTAGTCTATAGTTTTTTTTTTGGTAAAGATTTGGTGAAGCAAATGATTCCATTTCTTGGGCACTTTTGAAACCCAGTCACAGTCAGACCCATTCGCAGTCGTCGAGTCTTGGGTCAGCCTCCAGCAGACATGGGATCCCTATGGGTTTTCCCATCGATTCCCCAGGTGGGCCATTCGTGAAGCCCATCACAGAGCCACGCGCCGAATTCGACGCCCTGGCCGAGTTGGCTGTTAGATTGCCCCAACTCAGCAACTGTACGTGAAGTAGGGTACGTCATTCACTTTTAGTATTGGTGATAAGTGACACTTAATTCATTTTGGTGCAGTCCATTGTAGTCCTCATATTTACACCGGTTTCTTACAATGTAGTGTTGCTGTTATCCTGCATTCTGATTGGGCCTGTTTTTTTCTCCGTGTTTCTGTGGTAGATGGCAGGCCTTCAAGTCCATGGACGTGAGCCAGGAACTGGTTGGTAGGGAGCGGTGTGGAGCCATATGGGCCATGGGGATTCCCCAATGGGGATCCAAATCAGCCAAGGAGCTACTAGTTTCCTACTATCAATGGCCATTCCAGGAACCTCCAAAATATGGCCTTATATGGTACAGGATCCTCCATTTTAGGATACTGGAATTCCCATTGATACTAGTTTCCTAAGCATCTGATTGAATTTGTCATTTTGGGATGCTGGTTGCCAGATGTTGCCAGTCCATTTCCAGAACCCAGTGGAGCATCCCATGAAAATGTGGTGAGCAAAAGCTGCCAGGGGAAACATGGCTGCCATGGCCCCGGAAATCACCAGGGGAAGTGGGTCCCAGTTGTGTTTGGCATGATGAACCAACAGGAACATGCGTGTTGTTTCCTCTCAGTTTCAGGTCGAGTTTTCCAGAGGGGATGGACAAATGATGTGCAAAAAGGCGAATGCATTTCATCAGTATGTTCACCCCTCGTTTCCACTATCATCCGAATATCTAAGTAAAATTAGTTGGGTTGAGATTACCTTCAGTCAGAAACATCAGAAACATCAGAAGCCACAATCACCAGACAAATGGCGGTAAGGCAGCTTGTAGAGCTGAGCAAAACTGATTCAGATGAACAGACCCACCAACAGCTCACCTGCGATGCTAAAGCAACCAACCCAAACCGCCAGGTACCTCTTGTTTCCTTCATTTTCCTTCTAGAATTTTGTAAACTCACCGGAAAGCAAAGATTTACATTCAGATTGGATAGAGAATCAAAGGTGGGGTTCCCCCACCTTAACCGGTTGACACCCCCAT